GGCGATTTTTTTGCGTTTCGTATTCATCGGCGAAGAGTCAATACGTTCTTTTTATGCTCACGGGTTCAAATAAGAACCACTCTCGTTAACATTTATCATTTACCTTTGCGATCAAGATATGTGAAAATGAAGTCGAGTAAAAATGTGTGTATCACAATTCTCAAAATTCAAACTAAAATAAAAAATCGTTTTGTATTTTTTGTGTGCAAATTTTGTTTCATAATTTATTAAATATCCCAACCATCAACGCCTGTGCTGTGCAAAATCAGGTAATTTTGGACGTAAAACTCTGCTTTAAAACATTTTGATGTCCATTTTACAGAAAAGTGGTGATAGATACGCAGAAAATGTATGCATTAACCCATGATAAGAGTTTTGAATGCCAAATAATACGAAATAATCGTGTTCAATATCTGAAATGATGAGAAAATCAGACAAATATTGAGAAGAAATTGGAAGAATTAAGATTCTGAGGCTATGCATAAACAATGCCATGCAAAGGTGTAGCAAAACATGTTTTGCCATTGTTATATGAATTTTAGTAGAATCCATACAGACGCTAAGTATATATTTTCAATGAGTTTCAAAGAGTTTCATTTCTAGTTCAACATTACCTTAGTGAATCGTTCCAAATTCAAGTCAACTACATTCATTCCATGATAGTTGACGGGCAACTGGGCATTTGCAATCATCAATACGTAAAATTTCTGCAATTCATACGATAGCAGATACCAATTTGATTCGAATAAGCTATGGCCCATGAGATAATAATACACGTTGGTTCGTTTGCCATAATAGCAAAAGAGAAATAGATACGACAGTCCAACGCTCATGCCGACGATCACAAGCAGTGCGTTTGGGTCTCGATTTTGGACGGTCTGTGCAATTTTTTTTTGGTGAGGAAATGAAATAGAAAAGAAGATTTTAAAAGGATTCAAGGTGAGAAATGGATAGAGAGGCAGAATGAAAAGAAATGTGAACAATTTGAATTGAAAGAAAAAACGGAGAGAGAAATATTTTGGAAAATGACTCAACAATAATTGCTACTTATATCAAAACTCAACATTTCATTGAATCGGAAAAAAAATACTTGAGATGAATGAATTGGACACATACCACGTCCAGTTGGAAAATGCGACACGAAACATAAATGGTGCCGCCGATCAACTGAATCATGATGGCTCGGCTGAAAATGTCTGCTGACTTCAAAAATAGACTGAAAATAGGTTTAAAAAAAATGACTCAATTGATCGAAACATGAAGAATAATTCGCATAACGAATTTCATCACTTTCGCCGTGATTCAGATTTGTTCAAAAAATTTGTTTGAGTCTTAACCAAATCCAAGAAAAAATGTAATTTTAAAGAATTTTTCACTTGGCAAATACAAAAGTCTTTACCCTTTGGCTGCTGTATGAAATTTGATAAGTTTGATAAGTGTGTGCTTGGCCATTGGTCCATTATTTTCCATTTGAGATATTTCATTGATCTGTCCGCACAAGGCATCGTAATGTTTATAGAAGGTGTTGTGATGGTGGACAATGGCCACGAAATAGGAACCAGCAACACCATTCAGTATGACATACGATTGACCGAATAACAGCGCGTACAATCTTGATGCAATGCATCCGATTAAGGATTTCTGATTCCAAGGTAGCCTATGGAATGAAAGAAAACATTGATTTTTAATCGTTGATCAAAGAAATTTTGAGTGAAAAAAATGAATTTTGAGTAAAACTACTAGAAAAAATCGTTCAAAATACACAAATTTAAAAGGGTTATAAAGCGACAGTCGGGCAGGATCGATGTAACCATCCGCTCTGTAGCAAATGAAAAGGCTCAAAAAGGCCAAAAATACTTGGTACAAAAAATAAACGGTCGGTGCGCCTCTCATCAAAAACTTGGTACTTTTTTCACTCTGTTCATTGCCTTCGACAAACACATGGAACGATCGTTCATCTTTGTCTGAAAATAAATTCGAAATGATTTTGTTTTTATTCATTTTCAACGGCAAATAAAAAGATTTAATTTAAAGTAAATCAATTTTTTGCAATCACGATGAAATAAGATACTATTTGTCGAACTCAGAACTAAATCATTCGACAAGAAAAATCGTCTTAAATTTCACTAAATCTTAAACTTTATGCCTTACTCTCATCATAGATGCCTTGCAAATCATCGAAAAATTCGGTCACTTCATTCCTGGCAAAGAATAGTGCCCAAAATGTAAAGTATGCACTGGTTGTCACTCCCATTTCGTACACACCAAGTAACACCTTTTCAAATGATTTGATGTGCCTATGCATAAAAAATAACAGCGACACTATAATGGAAAACTGGCTGCAGTGAAAGGCAATGTTGAACACTGCGTTGAACCATTTCATTGCACTGGACTCATTGAAACTTTTCTCATCTTGATTGATGTAAAGGCGTCGCAATATGTTGCGATTCCACGGTAACGCCTCGACCATTTCAACTTTTGACTGAATGTTTCACTGAATTTTACAACTTTCTTACTGCGCTATACTCTTTAGAATGAACATATTGTTCCAATTTGTCCTTTTATATAAAACAAATCGAATTCATTAAGAATTCTGGCGATATAGAAATAGACCAGATACAGTCAAAGTTCGATGAGTTTGATTCTCTGTAATGGAATCATCAACATTGATTTTAATTTTTTGGTGTTTTTTTCTATTTCTCGAGGCAACCTTGCTATCTAAAGGTATTTTTACTTGATTAAATCTATTTGGTCATTAAGTACAGCTCAAGGAATGGTTGTATTTTTTTGAGCCCTTAGATTTGGATCGATGTTGAGTTTTAAATGTACTTTTCATGATATGGCATAATTTAAGGAATTTCGATTTTTGAGTATTGACAACTGCCATTTGATCTGGGGCGATTAAAGGTTCAAATATCCGAATACATGATGAAGCTTGGAATATCTAGTCTTAGTTTTAGTATATCAGACCGATGGATTTAATTGCCAAGTATTGGAAATCGCAATGGGTTTATGGGCAGTAGGTTGTTGTTGTTGTAATCCTGACTGCCCATAAACCCATTGCAATTTCCAATACTTGGCAATTAAATCCATCGGTCTGATATACTAAAACTAAGACTAGATATTCCAAGCTTCATCATGTATTCGGATATTTGAATCTTTAATCGCCCCAGATCAAATGGCAGTTGTCAATACTCAAAAATCGAAATTCCTTAAATTATGCCATGTTTCATGTGACAGTGATCTTGATCATGAACATCTTGATGACCAAAGAAAGTCATAGAAAAATTCATTCCAATCCTCTGGTCTAAATTGATAGGCTACTATAAGGATAGTGTTATTACACACCTGAAAATCACACCTGTTTCTATTAATATACACATTTTTATTGAGCTTTTGTTGTCTTTTTAGCAAGGACGAAATCAGAAAAGATCATGAAACAATAGATAGCCTAGAATGCTTTCCTTCAAGTGTTGTACAAAGATAAAATTTAGATAGATAAGATGAAGATAGATAAGATAAGATGATATCTTTATCTTTATCTAAATCAGTCACTCAGATTGGTCATCTATCTTGATATCTTATCTGAATACTTTTTTCGATATCTATCTCGAATTTTTTAGATAATTTCAAAGATAATTCGATTTTCTCATAGAAAAATATCAAAGATAACTAAAAGATAATTGGAAAAAAATATCTTATCTTTTATTGGATAGATAAGATAATATCTAATCTTCATCTAAATTATTTTTATGATTTTTCACAAATATCTTATCTTTATCTAAATAAATTTCAAGTCCTTTTGTACAACACAAGGAAATTCCTTGTAAAAACTATGTCTTTGAATTCAATGTGCTTCTTTGTGTAACAAGCACTGAAAAACCTCGATAGATTGAAATAAATTCTGCAATGAAATAAGTGAGACTCGCCTGTATTAAATGAGTCATATGCCACATGCACCTTCAGTTTTATGATGCATTACAACGATGGTCACATTTGAATTTAAGCGAAAATTGCCGTGTCCACTGTCCATTCGTAATGGTGATGACACAACAAATGAGGGTGTTAAAGGGAGAAATAATTTAATTATTTAAATAATAAGAACGGTTTAAATCTCAAATTCTATACCACAGAGACAAAACGGTGTTAGGTAATACTGATCGAGTCTTCATCATTTGGAAACCCTTTGTCAAATTGTTCTGTCGATTTAATACAAATTACAGGGTTGTGATTGTGAATTATTAATTGTCTGTGCCCTAATGCTAAATGTGGCGTTGGGGGACTGCATTTCATGAGTTAAAACAAACAAATTCAGTCCGGTGACTCAAGTGAAAAATTCAACAAAAAGAACTATGGCGCCTCCATGAAAGATCACTTAATTCGAGTTATATTACTTCACATTAATCTGGTGTTTTTTTCAAAACGTTTATTGAACCGGAATTATTACTCGATTCTACATACAAAACTAAAAAAAATGAATTTGAATATTCTATCAAACATTGTACAATTGTCTAGACAAAATAAATATAAATGTAATGAGATACTTCTGTAATTCGAGTGCTAAAGATAAAAAAAAACTATATGAAATTCAGACCGAAACGACCATCGACCATTTTCTACATCATTCGAAAATAAGGTGATGAAAAGGTTTTTCATTATTTTTGAGCGAAAAAAACTTGAACGATAAATTAAGGAGTAATTTCTTGGGAAATGCATCAATTTTTAGCAGGACAAAAAAACTCTTTGGTATCAAAACAGCTTCGGTACAAAACTTTTAGTACAAGTATGTTTGGTACGTATCAAGGTGCGGAAATAGTACGAAATTTCAAAATTGCCGCGTATTTTAGTTACAAAATAAACTCCACTTTACATTGATTTGCTATATACCTCAGTGGAGGTATCGTGAATGGGAGAAATTGACAGCTCTTCTTCCGAAACATAGTACGTATTCTTTGGCCTTTCAGCAGTTCCAGGTAACTTTTTTCCGACTCTCCGGTCTGTGCCAGTGCAGAACCCTCTAGATAAATTAATATTTTTCAACATTAACACCTATTTTCATATCGAAAATTGTATGTCCCCTTCATAACACCTCTGTCATACATTACTAATCGTATTCGATATTCCTGCCAAAGGAACTCTACTATGTACTTCAAAATAACTTACACATTTGTTGCGAATATTCACGGTTAAAATGATTGTTTACATTAAATTTGTGTGTGAAATTTGATTTAATAGAAAAACATCGAATGGGCATTATTCACTTGCTTATCGAAAATCACCAATACACGCCTGTAAGTGAGCCAGCACATGTCGATGTTCACAAGAGGATATTCAAATAGAGAATACATACAATACGACATTGTATTAATCGCTACCGTCGAAGATTGTTCTGAATAAAGTAGTCGTCATGACAAAGACGATTATTCTATTGGAATTATATCAATTTTCGACTAGAACACAGTGCAACGAAGATTTACTATCCGTTCATATATCCACTCAGCACTGCGCGTAGGTGGTTTTGTTTGAAATGTGGATAACTGGGGCTTATGCATAGTGCTTATTTGGTTTGTGTACCTATGCTGCACGTTGAGTGCTTTACTAAAGCACTGCTTAGACTGATTGCATACAGGCTCTAGAGTCGATAGGCTAGATTCAGTTGCATGTTTTGTTGCGTTCAGAGAAGATTTTCCATTGCAATGCTCGATTTAGAGTTATATGTAGCTCATAGAGCTCTCAAAAACCATACTTTACGCTATTCATGCGAAATGTGTTGCTTTGTGTAATCATAGCACATGTACTTCTTTCACACCCTATCTGAAAATTTAAGTTTTCCTTCATTTCAAATAACCGATATTTGTTATATGAAAATTTGATATAAACACTTTTTGTTGTTGTTGAAATTTCATACGTACACAATTTGTGTTATGTTTGATTTAATACATTGAAATTAGCGAGTAAAAATTACATAAATTACAGCACAGAAAAATGTCAATTTAAACGCTTTGTCATTTAAATGTGAAATAATGGATTTTATTTAAATTGGTGCTACTAGGAGTAAATGTGTAAATTGTTGATTTATATTTTAAAGAGCCGTTTAAAATCAAATTGAAAACAATTTCCTTGAATTTGCACCAAAAAAATACCATAATGATCCAGAGAAATGTCCAACATTATACCAGTCTTTTTGTGCATAACAAATAAGGTGGTTCCTCTCATATAAAAGAAAGACTTGAGTGCAAGGCTCACAGTGCATACAAAAGTCTACAGGTAGTCAATACAACAGAATTTTGTCAACAATTTTGTTTGTTTATACAAAAAATCAAAGTTTTTAATTCGGTTTTTTTTTTTTAAAAACAAAAGGAGATCCTAACAAGACTTCATCTGCTGCTGCTTCTGAACTTTGAAAAAGCTTGAGTGTTCATTTTTGAGTGTTATTCCGTCGTTTTTATTTTAAAAAAAATATTGAAACGTGGACTAAACATGAAAAATGGCGTGGCTTAAAATAAACGTTAAATTGTGATAACAACAATATGAGTCGATCCGATCGTCAGTGAGTCATTGAATTCATTTGATTGATACTGTTGTGTTCTTTCCTTTTTGTCTTCAATTTTTTTTTTTTGTGAAAAAAGTCTTTCTCATCTTTTTTAAATTGTTGAAAAAAAGGAACACCTTTTGAAAATCTCAATTTGCTCAAAATTTCTTTATCTTTGATCGAGATCCGTGGTTGGAATTTTCAATTTTGTACAAGTTTTCTTGGAAGAAAATCGTTCGATTCCCGAATAAGCGTGGATTTAAAAATCGAATCTTAAGCTTAAAGTGTATATTTGAATGGTACTCTTATATTCGCATTGATCTCCATTTATTTTTCCAATAAATTTTCTTGGTGACCGTAGATATCTACGGAAGAAAGGACCGGAGCGAGTTATACTGTTTGGATCCAAATCATTTCACGTTTATGTGTGTTTCGCCAATTCACGATACTGTGACGCGATGTTTCTGGTGAAGAAGAAGAAATGTGCGGGTCATACATATTATAGTGAGTGTTTCGCATGTTAAATAAAGCTTCAAACAGTTTCTCTCAGTCAAGAATTTCTTGATTCAAAATTTTGATATTTTTTTTTTCATTTTAATTTGGAATTTTTGAAGATAATTTTCATTATCTTCTTCAACTTGAGATTTCCCCGTAAAAGTTGTTGAAAACAGAACAAAACCTGATTTTATTCTCAATATTGTCGTTTTTCCCAGGTGCCGTGAGTCCGCCGTCGGAGTTCTATAACATAATAATCGACAGTTCTAAAGTGAAATGTTTGATTTGTGCGAATATTGTTGGACGTCTCGACTCAAAGATTGACTCAATTGTTCTGGATATTGAAAAGATTCGTTTAGTGCGAATCGAGCCACGCAATTTAACGGCCGTTTGCACAAGTAAAGAGGCTAATCATTCGCATGAAATGTTAGTTTCATCCGCATATTGTGACACCGTATACAAATCCTATACCAAGCCGGAATTCTACAGTGTTTCACGATATCAAACGCTCAAACAGCCGTGCTCTTTGTTACCCGACAAAATTCTCGGCTTCAATTTCATCAGTTCCATATCTCGTTCATTTCGCTACATAAGAGTGCATCGATTTCGACACCCAAGCTCGTTGCGTGGAGTTTACAATCCACTCTCATTCGCGAATCTGCAAATTTCGACATTTTCTTCATCCGCAACTGATTCGTCAACGGTTTTATCGGATTCATCAACCATTTCTACTGACTCAACACCATCATCTTTACGAACGGTTTCGGTGGTCGCTTCAACTTCTTCGCCTACACTTGATGTAGAATCAGATTTGTGTGAGTCTACCCCAAAGCCAATGAACAACACCGCTGCTCAGGTACAACTGTTTTAAGTATTTCGTACTGTTTTGCTGGAAAATCTGCGAAAAATGTAGAATGAAGTCAATCTTGACCATCATATTTTTGGCCCAACATTGTTTGAAACTTTTTTTTAGCAGAATTCAAAATGATTTTGAATCTTCGAAAAGATCGCAAAAAATAGCAGGCTTTGTTATGCGTTAAATCCATCACGCTGAATAAATTCATGCGATAGATTTATGCGATAAATGTGATGCGCACGCTCTGCGGTGAACGAGGTCTGTTGCTCTTCACTACCGCTTAACGATGCGTTCACTGCAAAGCATGAACGTTCATGCGTGAACAACTGAAGAGCAACAGACTTCGTTCACCGCAAAGCGAGCGCATCACATTTATCGCATAAATCTATTGCATGAATTTATTCAGCGTGATGGATTTACAAAGCCAGAAAAATAGATTGATTAAATATTCTCAAAATAATTTTCTTCCACATAGGGATTTTTCAGCACTTATTCCACTTATGAACCGATTGGACCAACCGCAGAAAGTCATGGTGATAGCCCAAGTGCATCTTATCATGTTTCATTAAAAGATTACAGTATTCGAACACCACGACCAGAAAATACCACTGATTTAGCTTCAAATTCATCATTTTTACGCTACAATGTCAATTCAAATGCACATCTGTCTAGTGAAACAACTTCAATGCAACAACCTAATGTCATTTTTGATCCAATCGCACCAACGTCAGTGCGATACCATTACAATGGATATGAAGTACCAGGCGATTTTGATATGGTTCACTTTGATTAAAAATTATTTTTATTATAAGCAAATAGATTTTAGTATGTATCATCAGTATGGAACTATTTCAGTTTATTTGATTAAAAAAGGCTTGATTATTGTCTATCGATAACCTCAAATGCTTAAACGAATGTAGTAAAATGACAAGTTGAAAAATCTATAGTGAATATTGCTTGGATGTATTTGAATTTGTGCAGTTTTATAATAACTGTATTGAGACCGACCATCGCTAGTATAACTAACCGTACCCATTCAATTTTCATTGTTTTCAAATTCCGTGCGAAAAAATTACATCAAGTCTTAATGGGAATGGATGCATTTAGTATTATGGTATCTGGCATTACTGTGCCCATTGACACATAATATATTAACGATTCTCGATTGAGAGATTGAATAAAAGATGATTTCATGGCTTCACTATGATGAATTCTAAAAAGTTTAAACTAATAATGTGTGGAACAAATGATTTATCTGTCGTTTCTTGTTTGTCAAATTATTGTCGCTAGCTTATCTCTGTTTACAAAATGAATCATTTGTCTACAATCATTCTCCAATGGAGCATCTCCAGTTTCTCATTCACTTTTTAGTACAATGAGTTGAATTAATAAATGCATTTGAAACATTCTAAGTCTAAAAAACTTTCAATCAATTTCGCTCTATTTCTATTTGGTTATGATTTCGTCAAAAACTTTGCTTTCTCAATAAAATATGGCTTTGTTCGATGGACTCATACAACACTCTCATTTTAAAAATAGTAACACGAAAAATACACGTTGTAATGATGATTCTGTTGAATTCTAATCAGATCGTTGTTGCTTTGTTTTTGTGACATTTGAGATATCAAACTTATAAAAATGTTTTCAATTTTCTACTGCCGGCATGACATCAGCTATAATGATAAGCAAATATTCCAAGAGAAACGATCTTTGCTCAGTTCTGATATCAATTGAATGATTCAGTCAGAATGACGTGCGGTTAATTGTTGGTGCTATTTATTGATGTATTATTGCTCTTTCACATTTAGTTTCCGCTTAATTGTTACACAAATGACATATCATTCCACATTTCTGATTCATTCCAAAGTTTTTTTAGCACTACATGGAATGTAGTATACATGAAATATAGGCTATTGCGTTTGTTTTTTTTTTCTCGAGAAATTTTTAAGATTCTTTTTTGGAAGGCCATTTTTTGGACCGAAAATTAATTCTTTTTTCTATCCAAAGTTCTAATTTGAAATAACGCAATTACGCCTAATTAAAAAAATATAATAATGTCATGTTCATGTAATTCATGTTTGAGATAACTCAAAGAAAAAAATTCATATTATTTTAATTCTCAATGTGAAATAATGTACAATCCACGTTCACATTATCATTCCCAAAACCCATTATTAACAGATTATAATATAATAAATAAAACCATAATTTATTTAATTAATATATACTATATATATATTTATAATTATTTATATATCTATATGATTAATAACTAAATTTTTCAATGTTTCTCTTATATATTTAATTTTATCAATGTACGGCAATTTCGTGAAAGATTTTTCCAATGAACTTTTTGATGTTACTCTTTTAACAATCATTATTATTAAATTGAATAATGCAATTACCCCACAAGAAATGTCGTCTTCTTGAGAAACAAAAGAATCTTTGAAACGTATATAATTTTTGGGATCGTTTAAAAATGGATATAGTCTTTTAATTACCTCCAGTTGTTCTTTTGACACTATTTTTCTATTGAAACTATCATATCGACCATTCCACACAAAATCGACCAAGAAATGGATCGACTTGCTCCGAATTGGCTGAAAATTTGCTTGGAGTCTTGTTTTCGGTAGAAAATGAGAAAACCAAAATCTTAGGCCTGTAAGTGGCCTACATTTTTAAGTTCACCCAGTGTAAATTTTTCGAAAAATTGAAAAAATCGAAAAAAATGGTTTGCGCCAACTGAAAACTAACTAAGAAGTAGTTGACACATTACCAAACCATTGGTACCGTTGGAAAGATAATTGATGGGGCTACAAAAATTGCGAAATCACCTACCCACTTTGACCCCATTGGGGCCTCCAAAAATGGAGTCAAAGTACTAAAAGTGAAATATCTCAAAAGAGTGGTCTTTTTTGACATGTTTTTTGCGTTTTTTTTTGCGCTTATGTCGCGCCGCTTCAGATGGAAAAATAAAATTTCGTGTATTGACCATTCAACTTTTTGTATTTGGCCTCGGAAAGTAGACCATATCTTATTTTTCAGCGTTTTTGTGGAAAAAATGGTCGAAAATGGCCTCTTACGATGTTTTGATTTGAGAAAACTGCTATTTTTTCGTCAAAATACATGAAAATATGATCATTTTAACATCGGTTTACCTATAAATTTGGTCTGAAACTGACATTTCTCCATAAAACAAGCGAATGGTGGAAATCCGCATACAAAATCACACTTATGGCATAGAAAACTCACCTATTGTGGCCTGGTATGAGTCTATTTCCATGTAATTTTGAACGAGGAATCGATTTAGACTTATATCAATTCCGTTTGATGAACTTAAAATGCCGAAAAATGGCTCTGTTCCAGCTTATGTTTTCAACTCGCCATATTTTAAACAGAAAATCACTTTTTCTACTTCGAAAATGCCTTATTCTGCGTTCCAACATCAATGGATTTTATTTTTTGAAGAAATAAATCAAAATATACCAACTTTTCGAATATTTTGGTCTCAATTTAGCGTTTTGTATAGATATTGGTCCAAAAAACGGTCATTTTGTAGGTACCTAAAATATGCATAATTTGATACTTTTAACTTACCTCAAAACTTGCTGACATGGCTTAAGTCGTACCTCGAAAATCGTACCCAATTTGTCAAACATGGAGCAAGTGAGTCGGTCGACTTTACAGCGTCGTCGGGTGTCCCACAGGGGAGCCACCTCCGTCCAACACTGTTCCTGCTGTTCATCAACGACATCGTTGATGAAATGCCCCCAGACATCATGATATTATTGTTTGCTGACGATATCAAAATTGCCAAAATCATCAAATCTCAGCAAGATTCGGAGATATTGCAACAAGCCATCGACAAACTTAAACATTGGTGTGACGTGAATCGGCTGCACCTTAACCTCAAAAAATGTGCAGTACTATCTATCTTCAAGAAACGTGAGCATTTGGATAAAAGCTACACCTATGGCGACCACACCTTCGACAAAGTGACTGAACACAAGGATTTGGTTGTTCTAATTGACAGAAAGCTATCTTTTGCCAAACACATCGACATGGTCACTTCGAAGGCAACGGCTGCACTTGGCTTTGTCATACGCTTCTGCCATGATATCACCGACGTTACCACACTAAAGTCGCTGTATTTTGCATTGGTTCAATCTCACCTCGACTACTGCGCTATGGTATGGCTTCCATTCCACAAAATCCACAGCGACAAAATTGAATCCGTGCAACGCCAATTCACTATGTACGCTCGTCGTGAATTCCCATCCGTGCATAACCAATACTCAATCACACCGTGTGAGCAGCGATTGTCGGACTTGAACATGATTAGTCTTCGCCGTCGACGTGTCAACGCGTCATTGTCATTACGACATCATCAACGGTAACGCTCACTGTCCAACAGTTAGTGACCAAGTCTCATTCCATCATGGCCGTTCGTTGAGACACAGTGAGCAATTCAAGGTCAATGACAAGCACATGAAGTTGGTGCGCGAGGCTCCAATTCCTCAAATGTGTAAAATGGCGAACATGGTGCAACAATTGTTCACAACAGCTACCTCGAAGACGAATTTTGCATCATCGGTTCGCAAAATGGAGTACACCACTTTTGGATCGCTTTGCAAACTCAAATGACTACCTGGCCGCCTCGTCAATTTTTCATCCAGGTAACCTCATTTTTTTGTATATGTTCTCTACGAGAACACGTAGATACTACCCACACTAATTATGGAATTACGATTTTCATGTTGCCGTTAAACCCGACCCATGATCTCAAGCGGACGAACCCATCAAGGACAACACAGATTGCCCGGTGCCATTTTCTTTGGGATGCCGCTGATTGCAACAAACATGAGCGGGGCTGAGTGCAAATTTCCAACCACCCGCGCGGTATTCAACTGAGCTCACACAAATCACGCAGCAAAAATCAAGACTAAAATTCTGACGAATTATTTTCCGTACATTCCTTCCATATGTATTGAAATGATGATACTTATCTGCGATGTTTACACTTATTTATTGTAAATTCATTTTGTTCTTTGTTAAAGCCATCCACGAGTTGGCGACTTAATATTTTTATCATTGAAATCAAATTTGAATTATTTATCAAATAGCATCAAATGCTCTAGTTACGTTTCAAATCATAGTCCATGTCAACTCAATGCACTCTGCAATCAACATGGATCTGCCTTTACAGACGTAAAACTTCTCGTCAATTTATCTACCGGTATAAATTGAGCGACGACTTTTGCTGTCCTAGAGTCTCAAATTAACGCGTAATTAAACGCTTCACATAGCCTTTGTCCCTTGGAAACGTTTACCAAAGGTTATCTTGGACCGTTTGCCATAGACTAATATCAGGCATTTCCATCTTGGTTGCATGACTGTTTTCGTTTTCATGTTCCTACTATTGTGATTACCGCATAATTTACGAAAAGAGCATGGTTTTTAACGAGGCGAGAACTGATAGTTATCGAAACCTATTGCTACTAATTGTTTATTATTTTAAATATGTAACAGTCTTGCACTCTTTTCCTGCCAAACCTCAAGCAAACCCCACATTATATTCAGCCAGAGCTTGGCGGTGTTTAATAGAATAAATAAAAATAAATAAATAAATTTTGTGTTGAAAAACTGCTATTATTTTTGAAAAATAATGGGGGTCTGTGAACAATAATATATCCATTTGCCTTTTCTTTGGTCTCAAATCGACTTTTTCATTAGAAAATTCACTCAAAATGAAAATTTTACACATAAAACTCTGAATTGAGTAGAAAAGTTGGT